AGGGGCAGTATCAGTCATCAATGTAGTGAAGTCAAGACCTAAGTCTGAAGGTGTTGTGCCTGTCACCTGATCACTATATGTGTGAAGGAGGGATGATAGATTGAACTCCAAATTCTGCATCTTTTGGAGCTCGGTCTTCATAGAAGCAACCTCCTTCTTGAGTCCAGGCAACCCACTAACTTCACCCCGCTCTATCTTCTCCACCCTCAACTCAAGTTGCTGTAGACGATCCTCATATTTTGACTGTTGCTGTTGGAGGGCCGTCACTGAGGATTGCATGGGCGTCAGGTCTTGTTTGATTAGATTTGGCAATGTCTTNTCTTGTTTGATTAGGTTTTGAAATGTCTTCAAAAGCTTATCTACTTTGGCATTGGCATGCTGAGCCAGTAGACCAAGCTTCGAGATAGCAGGAATGGTGATGGCAGGCTGGACAGTGGTGGACTGAGAAGCAGGCTCAGAAGTGGAAGTGGGGGCCACTGTAACCTGAGGAGTCACTGGTTTCTGGGAGTCACTGTACTCTAGATCACTCGGATCTTAGACCTGAACCTATGATGGGGCAGCAGCAACAGTGGTACGAGAGATATCCATGATACGTGTGATATCAATATCCCTCGTTTCCTTTCCAGTTTTATCAGTTGGCAGGATGGGAACTTTCAAAGCTTTACACAGAGCTGTGATCAGGCAAGGGAAAGGAAGTGAAGTTGCATGCTGCATTGCTCGGATCCCTATTTCTTGGAAGATCAACGCTCCCACATCTATCTTGATACCAGTCATGATGCAAGCAATCAGAAGGGCCTTCTCAATGGCTATTTCAGTTTCATTTTGAGTTGGTACCAACCGAGAAGTGACAAAACTGAGCCAGTAGCGACCCTCTCTCATGAGATCTTCCTTATATATCTTGTGTTGAGGATCGACCTAAGAAGGAGTCCCTTTTGCTATCACTGAGGCAATCCATCAACATTCATTCTCCTTATTTTTGAATTTTTCAGTGTACTCAGTTGTACCTGCTCTCCATCCTTTGACGTAGAACTCATTAAGGGCCTCAATGATGCAGAAAATAGTCTTTCCCCGGACAAGCACTTGGTCGGTGAAAACTTTGTTGCGTTTGTGGTATTTTGTCTTGGAGGCCCCATAGGATGCATAGAATTCCCTCACAAGGGTCACATTGTACTCCGTGGGTAGCTCAGTGAAGTTCTCCCATCTCCGTGTTTTTATGTTTTCCAGGATATGGGGGTATTTGTCTTTGAGCCCGTTCAAGCTCAATTGTTTCTCGCCCAGGATTTTGCGCTTTGTGAGCCCTTTTCTAAATATCTACCTGAACCCATCAACCCCAAATCGGAGTTGGAAATATTCACCTCGTTTCCTTCTCTCTTCAGTCTCTATATTGATTGAGGGCCTGAGCTCCTACGCCTCAGACTGGGAGGGGCTCGGCACGTTGTCCTCTATTCGCGATCGCTTACTAGTGGAAGCCCGCTTTGATGAGCGTCTATTTTGACCCATATTTGCACAATGGTGAAGAGTGAGTGACATCATTAACAATACGGAGAAGATACAAACGAATCAAAAGCAAGAAAGAAAATACGATCTGGTCTGCGATCGCAAAACCATAATGCGGACCGCAGACTTATCGCAGATGTTATAGTCTCAACTGGTGGTCTTATTCTGTGGTGAGTTATGTGGTCGCATCACCACTATGTGGACCGCATAACCATCGCATAATTGACATGGCTATATGGTTCAAAACTGAAATCTCTGTATCACTTTGCGGTGAATTTGCGGTCCACATGTCAAATCTGCGATCGCAAAGACACTGCATTTCATCATCTTCTTCAGAAGATTTAGGGTTTAGTTGTGAGGCCAAATGCGGACCGCATTTTCACAATGCGGGCCGCAGATGCCTTCTTCTACACAGGTCACCCAAGCTTTCAACAATGGCGGTCCTATTTTATTCTACCCCGTACCCCAAATTATTTTCAACCCAAAAGCATCTACACTACAGAGAAGCAACTACACAAGCATCTAAACACATTTTTGCACAGGATTTAAACGAAAAATCTCTGAACCTATAGTGGAAATCAAAGATAAAACGAGGGAGAAACGGGTACATACTAGCAGAGTTTGATGATTGGGACAATGACTGTGACAAATGGAGTCCTTTGGTTGCACACAATTTGAGCTTGATTTGGTTCTAAGTCCGTTCGTGTTCTTCCTCATTTTTTCGTTTTTTTGTTTTGTTTTAAGTGAGTGAGAGACGAGAGGGTTATGCGGACTTACCTTGTCGATTCTGCGATGGATAGACACCGCATAACATACAGTGTGACTGCATGTGTGTTATGCGATGAGGTTAAGGACCAAGCTGAAGCAAATGCGGTCGCATAAATTAAATGCGGACCGCATAATGCACCACCTCACCGCATTTTCAACCACAATTTTAACCCAAATCTCTGCTTAGGTTTGCGGTCAGAGTGCGGTCCGCATAGCTAAAATGCGACCGTATTTGTGCAACAGAATTCACCTAGTGGTTTTTCTTCCACTTTTTATGCATTCGTACCAATTGTTGTGATCTTTTGAACTCCCTGCACTCTGACACACACTTTAAATTTCTCAAATAAATCTATCTATCAAAAACTAAAAATTCATAGAACAAAAGAGTGGTACCACACATGGGTTGCCTCCCATGAAGCACTTTATTTAACGTTGCGGCACGACAAAGTTGATGTTCCTTTGGTTTCACTCAATGGTCGGGCATGGACCATCTTTGAGAGCCAGCTGCTTCACCAAATGTTTTTCTCCATCAGTGCCCAAGTAGTGCTTGATGCGTTGGCCATTTACCTTGAATGTCCGGGACC